ATCAGCTTGTTACTTGGCAAGTAAAATTACAGGAAGAAAAGGTAAAAATTTAAAAAAAAAAATTATCATATTAGCTTGGCATTAGAAAGGTAACTTGCTTCTTCTATGACTTGCAACAGCAACAGATTGATTTTTCTGCTTAATTTCTTCTTTCCATATTTTGCCAATATGTTGTGATACTTTAATTGCATCCAAAGATGCACCAGAGAGTCCTTTTCTTGTGAATCCAACTGCATATAGACCAGCTTTTCCTTTCCATCCATTTGGAAATGGGCTTTTTGGAAATCCCTCCCTTGAAAAAAATTCATTTTCCTGTATAAAAGAAATCAATAAATTCTCATTAGGCCAATATTTTTAAGGAAAATATTCTAGAAAACTTAATAATCTAAAAAAGAAAAAATGTGTAAGAAAACAGAAAAAATAAAGAAAGAAGAATTGCAGCTCAGATCTGCTGATCTAATCCATTCAACCAGTTTCTTGGAAAACTCAATCTTGTTTCTGGAAATTTATTACCATAGTAAAAGAAAAAGAAAATCTAGAGAAAATAAAAAGATGGAAAGTGATCAGTTATGTTTCTCTGTTCCCAATAAATTAAAAAGAAAATTGAAGCAAATGAGAATACTATCCACCTGATCACTAACAATACAAGAAATAGGAACAGAGAATCTACAAGAAACCAACTTCCATAACTGTCACAAGAATCCATAAATAAAAAAAATTAAATACACCTACTTGACTACACAACCAAAACAAAACAAAAAGAAAAACAAAACTTAGTTTCTTTTCTCACCTTTAACCAGGAAGGAACATTGCTGCAATATCCTGTTGCCAAGATGACAGAATCAATTTCAAGAATTTCCCCATTAACAAATTCTACTTTTCCTTGAGAAAATTTCTTGATTCCAGGAACTATCTTTATATCTCCAGATCTAATCTTTTGTAATGCACCTATGTCTAAGACAGGAGTCTTCCCTTCCGTGTTCTTGAGCTGTAAAGGTCCTATGGTTGGCTTTTTTAAACCATACTTTTCTATATTTCCAAGAAGTAACCTTGCTGCAACTAGCAATATCTTGTCAACCATCTCAATTGGTAGCCATTTCATCATCGAAACTCCTAACTCAAACGTCGATTTTCCAAGAATTTCCCTTGGTAAAACATGAACCTATTCATTAAAAATGAAGAAGTTAAGATATCATAAGATCATATACTTTGTGAGAAATTGGAGATATAAGGAAGATTTGTTAGTCTGGAACTAAGTTGCTCGGACTCTCCAAAAATGTCACTGGGTGCATGTCGGATCCTTAAAAAATAGTGCATTTTTGAAGGATCCGACATGGGTGCGGCGCCATTTTGGAGAGTCTGCGCTACATAGGTCTGGAAAGATGCTCTAAAAAATATGGAGTGTAATTTTTTCTCCTAGCATACTTAGGCTTGTAGCTTGTGAAATGTACCAAAAAAGAAAAAATACTTGTGAGGAATGATTTTTGGATGAGAATAAGAGGCTTACCGAGCTTCGGACAACCATGGATGGACTTGCATTATGATGGCAAAGATCAAGTGAAACTTCCATGCCTGAGTTCCCACAGCCAACAACTAACACATTCTTCCCTTCATAAGTTTCCCCTGTTTTATAGTCACAAGCATGCATAACATGTCCACCAAAATCTTGCAACCCTTCGAATTCGGGCACCACCTTTTCTGCATTCTCTCCTGTAGCCACCACAAGCCACCTGCATATATATTCAGTGATTGAACCATTTTTAGACACTGTCTTTACCCTCCACAAGCCACAAGTTTCATCATACTTAGCAGTGTGGACCGACTCATTAAATCGTGGGTTGATCTCGAAATTTTTTGCATAAGATTCAAGGTAGCTTATGAATTGGTACTTAGTAGGATATTCAGGGAAGTTTTCTGGAAATGGGAAGTAAGGCAATTCACAGAATTGTCGCGGGAGGTGAAGTTTAAGGCGATCATATGTCTTGTTTTGCCATAGGGAAGCAATGCAGTTGGCGCGGTCCAAGATTACAAAGGGAACCCCTTGTTGTTTAAGACCAGCGCCAACTGCTAGTCCTGACGGACCAGCTCCAATAATAACAGGACCATTTACTAGTATGCATCTACCAGTAAAGAAATCATCTTGTTCAAGTGCATGAACCATTAGAGGTGAACAAGGATTACAATATTGATTCATAAAGAAGTTCCTGAAATAATGCAAATAACTCAGTTTTGTCTACTACTTTTTTTTTGGATAGATTTAGTGGGACAAAAGAGCAAAGAGGAGAAAAGAGATCAAGAAGGAATATAAGTTCTCTAGTTGGTTGTTTGACAAACAAATGTGTGGAGAGGGTTTAGAGGAATAGAGAGGTTTAAATAGGGGGAAAGTTGGCCATAAGGGGTGGCATGTAATTAGGATTTGAAAATGATGTCTTGATTGTCCTTTTCATATGATTAAAGTCTGTGGTCTTCTCTCCTTTGTTTTGATGTACATATATTCTTTAATTAATGTATCTACACATTAGATATTACATATACATTTGTTTAACTCTCTTTGAACTTATATATATTTTAATGAGACCCCACATTCAATGTAAAGACTTCTATAAAAAGCATTTCATATATATCCAAGCTATATGCTATTATAGCATGGGTTGTATGACCTCAAGCTACCTACTTATACCTAAATATATATATATATATTTTTTTTGCATCCAAAATAAGCTTTAGTTTGTCACACATTTGGATTCAACCTACAAATTGAGCTTTCATGTATTTGGACCTCTATATTGGGGGGGGGGGGGGGGGGGGGTGGTGTACCATATTATGCTCTATAGTTATAAATTTGCTCCAAGTAAGATATTGCAAGTTGAGGGTATGGGATAGTTAGACTTATTAGCATCACACGTCTTAATTAATTCGTTGACTTAGAGGAAATGTTTGAAATTTTCCATTTAAATGGAGCAAAAAATAGGAATAATCAAGAACTAAATTCTTTGCCTCACTTGTTTGGTCCTTGACACAGGGAAAATTAATTGCTTCTCAATTCCATATTAGTTGGGGTTCAAATATATGGATTTTCTAAATTCATTATGTGAACTCAATATTCAAAAGATTCATCATAGTTGACTTCAGCTTATAGCAACCCTTCTTTATTCGAGCTTGAGACTGATTTTGCTATGTAAAACTATATAGGCGGAAAAAAAAAATTAAATAGAGAATTTTTTTACTGATTTTGACTTTGGTCCTGCTTTTCTTGAGTCGAGAGTCCATCGAAAACAAATTCTCTACTTTCACAAAATAAGGGTAAGATTTGCGCACACATTATCTTCCTCGGGACCCCATGCCGTGAGCTGGGTATGTTGTTGAAAATTATTTTGGTCCACTATTGTTTATACATGTGAGGGGAGTGTGTGTGTGTGTTCATTTGTGTCTTCTCTTTCTACTCTATCCATTTTATTCCCAAAGCCAAGTAGCCAACCCAAGAAGAAAAAATAAATGATTTTCCTTTCACTAAATTCCAAATTTCATTTTCTTTTGAATGTGTGTTCTCTCTCTTCCATTCTTTTCCACCTAAAAGCACCTCTGAGCATGAAAACCCATAAGCAAACCTTTCAAAAGACAAACAAAACCAACGAAAAACATGAGGTGCAGCTATTTCCCAATATCTTCTAATTTTAACTAAAGTAGGAAACTTCTTATAAAACATATTGAGTTGTCTACATACCCCGAGAGCACAAGTTTTGCAAGCAAGATTTTGAAATCCCATATTACACCATCCAATTTTCTTATTGTTAGTGAAATTAGTGATGAAAAAGAGAAGAGACATCAAATCTTAAGCTAAATTACGACGGTCAGACGTTTCTGATACATCTTCGACTCAAAAAAATCGACAACAAAATAATTGGACTTAAATTCCTCAAAAGGGATTACTCTAATAAAGTCATCACGGGTCGTTTGGTACGCGATATGGTGGGATAAGGTGTGATTAATTGCGGGATTAAATTTTTACTGTGTTTGATTGGTGGTATAAATTCATCCTATTGGATAAATTTATACCATCGACTAAATACAATATAAATTTAATCCAAACTTAATAAATTAGTCCACGGATTATAATTCCAGAACTATAATTCTGAGATAATTTAGTCTATGTACCAAATGACCCTGAGTTTATATTTCCCACAAGTTTGTTTTATTCAACACTTGTTATATGAAGATCTCATCATATCAACTTAGTCCCATTGCAGATATCAAGTTTGAGTTCCTCTAGGTTTGATCAAATCTTTTGCAAATAAAATTTGGTTTTGCCATGCAATCAACTAAGCTTCAACTTGCAAATTTTGGTTTCACCAAAGCAATCAAATAACTTGTATTTTGTGCACGATGCTACAAGTGAGTTTCACTCTATTTCATCTCAGGCAGAATATTAGAGTAATTATATGAGGATTATTTTTGGCCATTCAATCATATGATACTGAATTTAAAGTGCGTTAATTTAATTAAAATGGCTAGTGAATATATGCCAATCATAAGTCTCATGGGCAAGAAAACATTGCTCTATCATGTGACTGAATGATCATGGATTAGTCATATGTCTTTTTTGTTTTCTCTTTACTAATGGCTCAATGATTATGTTAATTAATTAAAGTCAGAGTAATGTAGGAACAAACAATCTAGTTGCTAATATCATCAAACATCATTTTCATTAAGGTGCGGCTCAATAGAATAGGTGACCTAATTAAGGCCAAACCTTAATACAAGGTCTTAATCTTGCTTAATGAAATCTCATCCATTTTTATTTGAAACTTGTGCTTCTAGATTTTTTATATGAAAGTTGTTAATTTTATAAAAAAAAATATTCAACTGACAATATAGCTAATCCATTCAATCTTTCTACAGACATTACTAATCTTGGGTAAATTTTTTTAACATTTAATTTAAAAAGAATAAATCCGGCGGACCTTCAACTCACTAATACATTGCCTTTAATTATAGTAACAACCATGTGGGAATTTGTACGTTTACATGGATATTAAACACATCACTATATGATTCTAATTTGTAGCATGAAGCATGTATAAATTCCAAAGTTGTAAACAAGTTATAATTGCTTACCACTTTCATCTGTAATTACTTCAAATAAATTTTTAAAGAGTTATAAAATAAAATTTAGAACTGTGTCATTGTATGACCAGTGACAAGTTAGCAGCAAATGATTGAAACTTTTATGCTTATCATTAAAAATAAGTCATAATTATTAGATTTATCATATATAATAGGAGTAATCTTGGGGGCCTCTAATTCTTTTTAGTGCTTAAAGCAAAAGCTTGTGGCTTTGTGTACAACCTCCCCCCCCCCCCCCGAGGGTGTTTATTATTTTGGCAATATATAATTGCTAATTCATATAGCCTATTTGGCCAAGCTTCTAAAACCAGCTTATTTTGAGAAGTGCTTTTCTCAAAAGTACTTTTAAAAAAAGTGCTTTTGGTGAGAAGCAGTTTGTGTTTGGCTAATTAATTTGAAAAACACTTTTGAGCAATAATTAGTATTTGGCCAAGCTTTTGAAAACTGCTTCTAAGTGTATTTTTCTCAAAAGTGCTTCTCAGAAAAGTGCTTTTGGAGAGAAGCTACTTTTTTCTGCTTCTCAAAAACTACTTCTGCTTCTCGTCAGAAGCATTTTTTTCCCTTCCAAAAGCTTGGCCAAACACTTCAATTTTTGGCCAAAAAAAGCACTTTTGGCCCAAAAAAAAGCTTGGCCAAATAGGCTAATAATCTCAAAACATCCATTCTTACATATATTTGATGTATACATGGTACATGGTAAAAGTCTATCCACATAGGATATTTACACTAAATAAATATTAATTATTATAATTAAATATTAAATAAAAACAAAAATATGTAGTATTAATTAACTATTATTGTATTGAGAGAAAAAGACAAGGTAACGACGTGACCACACCAAATTAACGAGAGGAAATATAAATGTGCCACTTTATTGTACTGTATTGTATTGTACCGTATCGTTTGATAAATATAATGTTTGGATAGATTGTGTCATTTGCCATCGTTTCATGATATCACGCACCAGCAATATGAAAAATTTGCAATATTATAAAAAAAAATTATGATACAGGGTAAAATTATTATATAAAAAAGTAGGGTAAATGATAAAAAAAAAATTATTTAATATTAATGAAGGGTGAGATTGAGAGAAAAAGACAAGGCAATGCCACGACCACACCAAATCGGTCGTTACATAAAGTGGCACATTTCGTCATTATGTAACGGTGGATTTAATGACACAATACAATAAAATTTAAGTAATAATCAAAACAAACATCGTATTTAAAGTAACAATACGATATGATACAATACAATGGTAACAACCATCCAAACAAGGTGTTATGTGGCAATTGGCAAGTATAAAGAAGGAAGGAAAAAAGCTAACACACACACACGCCGGGAAAGTTTAGTGATGCATTCGTGAGAATAATTGATAAAATAGTTAATTAATTATCTTTTTAATTGTTTAAAAAATTAGAGAAACTTAAATAAAATATGCCTTAGTCGGCGTAACTTTCTGTTTAGCTTTTCAGATATATTAGACTTTGCTTTTGATTTATTCAACGAACTTTATCTTTGGATTAATCTAATGAAATCAAGTTGTATTAATTTTAATACTTAGGCGTACTTGCTCTACCCAAGAAAAATATTTAACAAAAAGAAAGTAAGAAATATTCCACAACTTTATGAAATCACGAAAAGTTCGTTAATTATTTTGGCTTTGAAACAGTCGGCGGATAATTAAACCATGTTTAGAACTTTAAATGGACTTATATTAAACATTTTATACCATTAAGGCCGATGTTAGACTTCTAGCTAGTATAGCAAAAATAAAAACTATATAAATTCTTGGACAAGAAATAGTATGATATATTGGAGCTTATGAAATTAGTTTTGAGTCTGTAGCTTTGGTACAATTTAGAAGAAAAAGTATCACTTTTGAATGATAACAAAAGGTAAAGTATAAATGTGCCTGTGATTATTTTTGAATAACACAAATTTTGCTTCAAAAAAAATGTAATTTGCCCATTTGGATATCCAACATACACAAGAAAGTAACACATGGCAATAGGCAAGCATGTGAGGGTTTTGTATTTTCAAGGTTTCATTTCTAAAGTTTTTTAATTGTTGGTGGTCCCAAAGTAAACAACGAAAGAATGTTTTCGATCTTTCTTTGATGAAAAAAATAGCTCTAATTCTCATTCGCATTTTAATTCTTTTTTGATATCTGAAAAAATCAAATACAATAGATTATGGAGATTAAAGTGAAACGAATGAAGTATCTTCCAAAAGAAGTTGTAAAATTTATTTAATAGCTATTTGGAATCAAGA